TTACACCTCCGGCACAGTTCGAATTGAACACGAATTTACTATTTTTCATGCCAGCTCGCTCAGCAATAAAAACCTCAGACATCTGACTGTGGTCGTGAACAAGTGACCATTTCTACAACGTTTACGAGGCGACAAGCCGCCACTGCACGAGGTCCAGTTTATCGGTCCGTACACTTCCTGTCATGTAACAGACTTTGTATCCCTTGGGTCTGCGACGTTCAGAAGGTGAAACTCGATATTCGGGTGACCTGACCGAGGTAAAGCTCTGTCGTCAGGATAAAGAGGGAGGCTGCTTGGAAATAAGGACCATCCAGCAGCATCCACTACTGCCTTCTTGTGTATGTTTCTTCCCAGTCTTCATTCATTATTTTTACAAGAGTAGTAAACCCCGGCACCTCCAGGTTACAAGCCACAGAGCTAGTGTGGAAGTCCCTTTCTCCTCCCTTCGCCTCGTCCTGCCTTCACCAAATGCTTCCTCTTGTGATAGACTTGGAAATTGATGGGAACTGAAAATTAACATGTTCTGTCTATAAAGTAAATAATGAGTGGGGTTACTAAGGGGAATGTACTTCCCCAGAATCGTTAGCAACTCTCGAATCGTGCATATTTTAAGATAGATACTTATCGACATTTCTGTGAATCATCTCTTTTTTTAATGCTACCTACATAGAAGTGATAATCAGTCTGGCGAATACAGCACCAAAATGATTAATGTTAAGGTTTTGATCTACATTTAGAATGTAAATGCTTCGAATCTGGAGTAGATGGCCGGCTGTACTACTATTATGCAAAGTATTCTGTAGTAGACGTACCGGGTAAAAGCAGTGAAGAAGTCACAAGTTTCTTTGCAAATCTCCTAATGCATAATAGCACTAAACAATTCATCGCTACTGATCATGTAGCAGATAACGGACCAAGAGACAGAGAGTACATTGGCAAAGAACAGAGACGAAATAAATTCAGTATTCTGCCACCCTTAAACATTTGAAAGATGCGCGCCTTCTGGGATGTTACGCTACGTAATTTGGCAGATTTGGCAGATATTGACCAACGGTTCAGAAGATCTTTATTGCCTTTAGCGGAACTCAAAGATTTATTGTTATGTTCATAAGAGATCTCCAATGGTCCCTATATTGACCCAAATGAATTTAAGGTCCAATTTAGAATTATTCTCACATCTACGACTAGGTATCCCTAGTGGACGCTTTCCTTCAGTCTTTGTCACTAAAATTTTTATGTATTTCTCATGTCTCACATGTGTGTTATATGCACCGTGAATCAATTTTCTTGATTTGATTATCCAAACGACGGTTTGCACTTAATAATAAATAATTCTATGACGTATTTAACAGTTTAAAGGCTACAGCAGCTTGTCAATTAAACAACATATAAGATTATGTAGATCGTGTTATGCATTTAACGTTTATAGCGAAACTCTCTCTTTATATGCCAAACGAGGGCTGACAAAACAACGGACCCCTTATCCATAAACCTCTTAATTGAATAACTTGTATTTCTCTCTGGTTACATACATGTAACAATCCTGAAACATCTTCCTTCCCTCCAATTACAAGAGATCCTCATGTCCATGTTTACATCATGGATTACACTGCCTTCCGTTAGTCCATTGTATGACCTGTACATGCGTATTCCTGCTAGGCATGCAACCAGCACGCTTTATTCAATAACTTGTTTGCTGACATGTCATAAAACTGACCTACCATACAGTAAAGTAGGGGTGGATTTATATGTTTCTCTCAGAGGTAAGCTCTAAACAAACATGAGTGGATATTGCACACAAAAAAAGAAACACAGTACACGGACTCTGCAGTTATCTCCAGGCTAGAAATTGCTTCGTTCATCGGGTTAAATTGCAAGTGCCTTATTACTACTACATACGTCCATTTATCATTCTAATCTGTCATCTTTTACCATGTCTGAAAATTACAGATTTTTATAGTACCTTAATAAGGATACACATATTTCCAAATGTACTTCTCGTGAATTTGATTGCTTATAGGAGTCTTCTGTTTATTTGGGTCTATATATGTATTGTAGATGAAGAATCAGTCTTGTTTCTGTCGTCTCATTCATCCTGTGCTGACCTAGCGTGTGAGAAATTGGCTCCAAAAAATATGTAACGTCGGAGATAATTAGAAAAAATTATGTTGCTTGTTTCATTACGCGCATCAAATTTAAAAGTATTTGAACAAAATTTGTGTCTCACTAGATAACATATATTTTATGTCAATTAGAATTAATTATTTTATAATAATAATAAAGTTCAGATTTCGGTGTCATGTGCTGACAATTAAGTGCTTCATTCAAGGAACGCACTAAAATGGTTACCGCGAGCAGTTATTTCGTCGGTAATGAGCAGATTTCATTTCGGAAATTTCACTCCCAGTACCAACTATACTGATACAGTTCGTGATTTTACTAGTAACTCCAAATGAATAATGGGGTATGGTAGCTTGTTACACGGTTCACAATTCATACACATCACATTATCCGGAAATCTGTTGCAGACTTCTATTTCTGAATTGGAGCGGATAATTAGTGTGAAGCACATTTCCATTGATAAGATTAGACCTGCATCAATGCGAAACACCTAACTAAACTGAGTAACTATAAGGGCCTTATTGCAAATAAGGTAATTATGTTCGTTGTGTTACCATTCTAAACAGATTATGTAGTCCTGAATTTCCAAGCAGTGTATGGACAAATCGTTAATCCGATTGGGATTTGAGCGGCTGAGACACTGACTGGCACACTGCAACAGTAAAAAAAAATTGCAGTAGGCACAATGAAGTTAACGAATTTCCACTAAACAAACATTGTTTTTCATTCAATCAGAAATCTTTTACTGATAATCCTTTCACGCTTATGAGTCTAGCCATAAATAATTCGATATTGCACAACATCACCTTAATAATATCGACGGTAATTTCAATTAACGATCGGTACGTACAATCAATTACGTATAGTCATATTTATCCCCTTTTTGTGTTCTTTAAACCGTATTAAATTCAAAATTAAAAGACGACAGAATATGCGTATTTACTACTGAAATCATGAAACTGGCTACACAAGGATTTTTAACTCATCTGACAAGTCTGAAATTAAATAATACAACCATTTATAACTAATTATGCATTAATGTTATCCACTTCACCGTAAAGAAATAAGATGTAAAAATTTCAAAATAAAGACAAAACTTTGTCACAAAAGATAAGCAATCCAGGTACAGCGAACTTCCAAATATTTTACGAACACGAGGGCAATGTAGAAACAGATTTCGTTCGTATGTACTGTTCTGTAATCCTTCTGCGTCGTAAGGAAGACTAAAGCCTTCTTATAAGTATTTCGGTGAATATTACAAACTGCGCCAAATGTCAGGGAGAGCTGCACTGCACAGTATCCAGACATAGGGCAGTGAGAGGGGGAAGAAGATTGAACGGGGGTTAAATGTCAAGCATCTGCTATATTAATGGCACACAACGGCCAGTAAGCAAACAACTGACGAAGGAATTATTCCCAGAAACCATGGTGACTTATACCAGTAAGCAAACAACTGACGAAGGAATATTCCCAGAGACCATGGTGACTTATTAACAATCATCCTGAGGAAAACGGTCAGGTACGAATGACGACAAAGACATTATTCTTAACTCTGCATCGTCAATATGTCATATTACAAGTGTCTTAGAGGAGACTGGACAACATTTTGAAACTTTCTGTGCTTTTGATATTGAACCTCTCACCGATTTTCGATTCACATTCGAAAATACAAATACATTTTAGAAGTCATTATTTATTAGCTACATTTATTTAAGAATTATACCCTAGGGACTGGTTTGTGTGTGTGTGTGTGGGGGGGGGGGTTCGAGGCGCATCACATTCTGTGGCAATTTGCGCCTGGTAGCCTGGTGATGAAACATCGCTGTATATTTACTATAACAGTATTAAGTACATATTCGAGTCGAACAGCTTCTGAATCGAAGTCGGACTCCTCATAATTAAAGCAGCTCGACATAGGCACACTTAATCAAGAAAGAGCCTATTTTTACCAAGTAATATTTGAGGCGGTGAGTACGAAGATGGCTGACTTCTTGGTAGTTGCTGCGTGTAGTCTGGTAGAAGTTTACCGACGTTTCAGAGAGGATTGTTGATTCCATTACCATCGCCCTGATAATTGAAGCAGCAAGTACCTCTGAAACGTTGGCAAACTTCTGTCTACGCAGAGTTACAACCCAGATGACAGTCACGTTCTCATTTTCAACACTTTATATGCAACTTCTTTTATACAACGTTTCTGATATAGATGTTTTATTGTTTCACCACAAAGGTGGCGTTGCTGTGCGCCAGTAAGAATATTCTAGTTAAAGATAACACACATTTTACTAGCATAAAGGTAATACTGTATTATATCTTAACTACCGTAACCAAAGCTACTCTAATCTCATATTCATCGCCCTGATGACGGAGGCAGTATGACCTCTGAAACGTTGGTTAACATCGACCAGACTACACAGCGCAACAACCCAGAAGACGGAAATCTTCATACTCATCGCCCTGATGATGGAGGCAGTATGACCTCTGAAACGTTGGTAAACATCGACCAGACTACACGGCGCAACAACCCAGAAGACAGAAATCTTCATATTCTAATCTAATTTAGATTGTTCTTACTGACACACAGCATCGCTACGGCTACCATTTTTTAGCCTGCCATGAAAGTGGTAACATAACAGACCAATTCTTGTTCACTGTATCCCAATTGCTTACTTCCTTTTGGTAGCGGAAAAATAATACACAATAACATTTTTTATTTGATGGATGTTCATCTGCTCTTTGAGGTTAGAAGATTCCTGCTCCGCCAGGTATCCGTTTCATAGAAGTTATTTTTTAGCAGGTGTTCCGTTTGTGTAATGCTCAGTCTTTAAGGTAATATTCCTTTCACTTCACTTTATGAAGATATTTACACCAATTCAATATTTCACAAAACTCATGAAGCATAATGAAAGAGTTGAAACATGGTTCACTTGAATTACTCAATCCTCCAAGATTGTATAGCTTATGATTCCATCGTCTACATATGCAACTACCATCTTATATCAGGCTGAATTTTTGGAGCCCATCCCCTTCAATATTTCCTTCGTTCTTAACCCCCCTTCCCCCAACCCAACAATCCTGCGTCTTTCACAAGTGCAAGCCCAATCAAAGAGCTCATCAAAATCTAATTCAGTTTGCCAGCAAGAAAATTTGAATAACAATTCGGAATGGGGTGCCATTGTTGGTTGCGCCTTATTGTCATGCGATTTCTATTAAAGTTTTGATGCTGAGTAGAAATACGTAGCACACACAGACGTCCGTGTAAAAGATGCCAGAGGAGTAACAGGGCTCGGAGATGCATATCTAGGTCCGATACGCTACAAGGGTGTGGGCTCGAGAGTCTTAGAGCGGATATATGAGTGAGGAAAGTCCATGGGGTGTAAGTCTCATTGTACTGTAGTGACGTTCCTAACTGAACAACTATGGCACGATCTCGTGAAGGGTTTACAATACTATCAGAATGAGTGATCTTCATCGTATTATCAGAATTTTAAGCGAAAACAAGCGCTTTTTTATATATTTTTGGGACAAGAAGTTTACAGAAAAACTTAAGGTGGTTAATTTTTCTCTAAACAATTAACAATTCCCTTTTCATCGATGCCAGTTGATTACATAAGAGACTAGTACATAAATTAACGTAGCATATTTTTAATGCATAATTTCAGATACGTCACACATTCATTACAAGCGACTCTGAAGATGTAACTTCAAATATTCAATGTATCAGGGGTTTTTCCTCCAAGTTTCGTAATAGTGGTTGTTTAAGGTATTTAAGTCTTACTTTTACAAATTTACTTTAAACGTTTCTCAGTGTGATTAATTATTAAAGAAATACAAAATTTGGCCCTTTAATATGCATCACGCCATGAAGGTGTATAGGAAATGTGACGTAAAACTCCATACATTTTTGAAATGACCGCTTGATGAGTGGTCAGCTTCATTCTACCACTAATACTCGCTGGACAGAGGCCTGCATGGACCAGAGAGCTCATCTGACTGTGGTTCCTTCTGTGAATAATATAGTGGCCTTGCAAACCCTGCCCAGTTACTTCGATCATTCACCTATCATAAAGACATGGAGAAGAGATCTTCATGAGAAACTAGTAGTCGCTAAGCTAGTCTAGAAATTCCCTGCCGTTTATAAACCCCAAAGAGTTCATAACAACCCACCACTGGACCTTATCCTGAGCCACACGCATCCGGCCTGCTTCAGCACATCCTACATCCTTGAGAATCATTATATTATCCTTCCATTTATGCCTAGATCTCCCAAGCTGTCACTACCCTTCAGGCGTTCGACTGTGTATAAATTTCTCATATCTCCCATTATGCTACATGTCCTGCCAATCTCACCTTCCTTTCTTTGATCGCCCTAATAATAGTTGGCGAATAGTAGCCCTCAGAGTATGAAGCTCCTAATTACGTTGAGTGCTATAACATCCTATTATTTCCTTTATCTTGGGAGTAAAAATAATTCATACTTTTTGCAGTGTAAAAGTTTATCTTGTTCTTTGGCTTTGATCAAAAAGATTTATAACGGAAATAAATTAAAGAGTTACGTAAACGGGTAATGGCAAAGAACGCCTTTAATATGTGAGTGATCCAAATCAGAATAAAACTTCTGAATTTTCCTCACTTTAATTGTGAAAAATGAGACAATAAAAATGTAGTTTGGAGAGAGCCGAAGATTGACACTTACTAAACACACTGTAGTGATCAGCGCAGAATTCTAAAGTCCGTAGAGCACAGCTAGTCTCGGCGATGATACACACTTCGCGTCCTGCTACGAATCAGTCTGCAGTGCAGACATTTCGCGAACTCTCATAAGCGTAACGCGAGACAAGCATTCCACAAATTCTGTAACTGGACTGTACAAGGTTACAGCTCTCATCAAATCGGGATGACATCTGCATTACTGTAGCGCCAGCCACTATTTGTCACTTACGTGCCTTGCAGCTGCAATTAAACGCATTACAGTCTAGGAACTCAGTTGGACTATCCACCAGTCTGAGGATTTATAGCAGAAAGTTATGTTATGTTGCACTCTTGCATATCTGAACCACATCAGTAATGGAAAACGAACTGGTACAAATACCAAGAAAGAATGAAAACTCCACAACTAACAAAATATAACGTAATTGAAGGATTGTGATTGAATGCTGCGGGTTGGTGGTAAACACTTATATTGTATTCTTGAGGTCCTGAATTTGAATCTGAATCCAATGACAGGCTATTTTGACTGTTTATTTTATCGTGATTTCCCTGCCACTCTGGGGCAGTTTCGAAATAATTCCTTAAAATAGACCAGCGTTTCTCAACCGGGGTTCCCCGGAACCTTAGGGTTCCGCGAGCAATCGCCGGGGGTTCCGCGAGAAATAGTGATGAATAGGCTAATCATATGTAAATGTATTTTTGAGTCATTTTTATGTTTAATTTCATATTCGTAATTTTACTATACACGTACGACATATTCTCGGAAAATTCTTGGGTATTATAATAAAGTCATAAGAAATATATTTAACGACGTCTATACGGCGCCAGCGTGAAACCGCCTTTAGTGGTCAGTGTACAGGAGCTCTACGTGATGGATTCACGTATCATCGAGTGACTCATGTAAATTTTATTATTTAAATTGGCTTCAAAAATAACATTTCCTTGACTCATATTTGTTCATATGACATTTTACTTTGATCTATCTTATGCCTTTTTTAACATTGTCAATAAACGATTTAGTTATTGTAGTAGTTATTATCTGTTTTCGTTCTGTTTATATATGTTATGTACGATATTGGTTATTTATGTTTATTTTTTGTGTGAATGAAAACCTCCGTATGAGGTCTCTTGAACAGGCAGTTCGATTTCCGTTTTTTTTTATTGTCAATAAACTTGAGAAAAACGCAAGTAATTTTTTGCGTAAACCAGTTATTAGAAAAAATATATTAAGTTTTCCTTATAAACTTTAAGTTTATAAAGAAAGAAAGAAAGATATCAATAATGGTATATAATAATCTTTATGTAGGGGTTCCCTGAGACATGAATATTATTTCAAGGGTTCCGCAAGGGCAAAAAGGTTGAGAAACGCTGAAATAGACTATGACCGCTTATTGTCATGTTTATGATTCAAAACCATCCTTTAATTTAACGCTTTTAACGTATTCTGGCACAGCCGGAAATTGATTTTGCGATCCTCATAAAAACTTTCTTTTAT